TTTTCTGTCATCCATTCCTCTGCTATTTCAAACGTTACTGCTGTACCCAAGTAAGAAGCTTCGACGCTTTCAACTTTGATAAGACACATTTTAAAAATGAAGGTGTAGTTCTTTTTTCAACTGCCCACCAAACCAGCCCTCGACAACAAGTAACATTAACCTTACTACGAACAAGTCCCTCAACTAAAACAGAGATGAAGGAAGCTGGATGAGTTCGACATCAAATCTCGGAGAACACAACTTGTTTTTTTAACTTGCTCATGCAGTGATATGTTTAAAGATAAAAAGTCTGCCGGAGTAAGACACCGGTCTGTATATTTTTAGCAGGCTTTTCAAATCCCATGACCTTTAGAGATATCTGTCAGCACGGCAGGCATTTCCTCTAATAATGCAAATATCTAACTCACATGCTTTTGAACCTCAATCTCCCTTCCAGCCAATGTCTGCCTGCGAGCCAAGTTCGTGGATGTTCGAAGAGGTTTAGGTGGTGCTCTTTCAGTGTATTGATTATCCGGTCCCTCCTTTGAGATTGGGCCGACACTAGTGGCTCTTGGGGAGGCAGCCAGCACTGCTGGGGGCACCGAGGCTGCTGGCCCCGGCGGACCCTCTATTTTATCTCCAGCCTGGGGCACTGACTGTTCTCTTTCGCCTGCTTCCTGGCTTTGCATACCTCCAGACATAACGCTTGTTACGACCGCTACTGTGGCTTGTCCCACCTGCTCACCCATACCGAGCTCCCAGCCAAAGTAACTGGCAGAGGTGAAGGGCAGATCAGCGGTTGACCTAGACACCACCTGGGTATTCTTTTCTTCAAACGAGGAACCCGACATAGCCTGCCCACTGCCAGTGGTAAAGCGGGAGGCAATCATATCCTGACCGTCCAAAGAGGCATTATCATCATCGTCATCTTCGTTGGCTGCTTCGTTCGACTGGGCCGGGGCGCCCCCACTGCTACTGCCGCCCATGGTAGAGTAACCGCTGGTTGCCATGGCTCCGGTCGATTGTGCCATGGCGACAGCACTAGGGACGAAAGTTGAATGAGCCCGTTTCAGGTGGCTCTGCTCGAGGAACCGGGAGCTACCAAGGATGCCATGAAGCAGACTCGAGTCGGCATCGTAGCCCAAGCTGCCGGAGAACTGGCGCCGATCTGCGGATTTTGAGCGCAGGGTCATTGACATGGTGCCCATTCGGGCGCTGGCATAGTGGGGACCAGTGAGAACCGTTGGGTGTGCTCGCCTCGCGATAGATGGCCTGATGTGAATGCAAGCGAAAAATACCCCATTATACATTCACCCCACTCAGGCTAAGATAAAATCACGCATGGTTATCGAATGCGACAAGGAAAAAGAAGAATATGTCACTTGGAAATTATTTTTATCAGTGTAATCTGAGCATATGTCAGAAATGAGCATCGCCGTCTTACATTGCTGCTTCTAAAAGTGGTCGCCTGGCAGCTTAAAAAGCAATCGAAATATGTTAAATACGAAAGTAAGGCACACTGGAGCTTAAGTGCAATAGCAGCCAGTCGTACCCCATTAATTTGAACACCAGTCAGGCCTTTTTAAAGTAACGTTCCCTTTACGAGCAACAGGCACACATTCTACTGTCTGAAAGGGTAACTTCAATTTCTGTCTCGTAGTCCGAGCTAGTCGACTAAGTCCATTGTCAGGAGATTTTAAACAGCCTCCAGAACAGTAGCTCGTGAGCGGATTTTCAACCCGAACATGTTCAGTAACGGGCTCTAGAAAACCAAGCCGAAAGTCGGGCTGCCAGTAGCCAAAAATGATCTATCCACTTCCATCCTTGGTGCTGACAAAAGTCGTGAAGGGTGAGGAAAGTTTAAATTCACCTTCAACAAATCTAGATAAAAATTATATTGCCAATACCATCTCTTATAATGAAACGGGAAAGACGAATCAGTTTGTGGATATTCATGAAATAATGAGATAAATCAACACTTTAAAGCAAAGCCCTTCAATGTGACCTGTCCAACGACGCCAAAACCTGCCTGCCTTGAACGTCAAAAGACTGAAAGCAAACGTTCTAACATAATACCCGAAAATTAATCAAAGCGGATTTTATTGTTTCAATTCAGCCTAGGTTTTCCTGACGTCATAGCCCGGTTTGTACCTCATAGAAGTACCAGATACGGCCTCGAGTTTAGCGTTTAACTGCAAAGTGTTAAATAGTACGGGCGATGGCTACCGAATTTAATTGGCCTATGGAGCTTTGAGGCTGGTAAGATCCCTTGGTAACCTTAGCGTGGGTAGGCCCATTTTGGAAAGAAACACTAACATAACTACTATATTA